AAATACCCATTACTAAGTCCAGGCAATATAAATTTTGAATAAGTCAATCCACACATGATAGCCACATGGTTTTAGATACATCAATTAATGTACTTTCGAATGACATATGACAATCTTAGATGTCCTCTAAACTCAGCGATAAAAATCACTTTGAGTGAGCCACATTGAAAAAATACCCATTACTAAGTCCAGGCAATACAAATTTTGAATAAGTCAATCCACACATCATAGCCACATGGTTTTAGATACATCAATTAATGTACTTTCGAATGACATATGACAATCTTAGATGTCATCTAAACTCATCGATAAAAATCACTTTGAGTGAGCCACATTGAAAAAATACCCATTACTAAGTCCAGGCAATACAAATTTTGAATAAGTCAATCCAACATGATAGCCACATGGTTTTAGATACATCAATTAATGTACTTTCGAATGACATATGACAATCTTAGATGTCATCTAAACTCACCGATAAAAATCACTTTGAGTGAGCCACATTGAAAAAATACCCATTACTAAGTCCAGGCAATACAAATTTTGAATAAGTCAATCCAACATGATAGCCACATGGTTTTAGATACATCAATTAATGTACTTTCGAATGAAATATGACAATCTTAGATGTCATCTAAACTCAGCGATAAAAATCACTTTGAGTGAGCCACATTGAAAAAATACCCATTACTAAGTCCAGGCAATACAAATTTTGAATAAGTCAATCCACACATGATAGCCACATGGTTTTAGATACATCAATTAATGTACTTTCGAATGACATATGACAATCTTAGATGTCATCTAAATTCAGCTATAAAAATCACTTTGAGTGAGCCACATTGAAAAAATACCCATTACTAAGTCCAGGCAATACAAATTTTGAATAAGTCAATCCACACATGATAGCCACATGGTTTTAGATACATCAATTAATGTACTTTCGAATGACATATGACAATCTTAGATGTCATCTAAACTCAGCTATAAAAATCACTTTGAGTGAGCCACATTGAAAAAATACCCATTACTAAGTCCAGGCAATACAAATTTTGAATAAGTCAATCCACACATGATAGCCACATGGTTTTAGATACATCAATTAATGTACTTTCGAATGACATATGACAATCTTAGATGTCATCTAAACTCAGCGATAAAAATCGCTTTGAGTGAGCCACATTGAAAAAATACCCATTACTAAGTCCAGGCAATACAAATTTTGAATAAGTCAATCCACACATGATAGCCACATGGTTTTAGATACATCAATTAATGTACTTTCGAATGACATATGACAATCTTAGATGTCATCTAAACTCAGCGATAAAAATCACTTTGAGTGAGCCACATTGAAAAAATACCCATTACTAAGTCCAGGCAATACAAATTTTGAATAAGTCAATCCACACATGATAGCCACATGGTTTTAGATACATCAATTAATGTACTTTCGAATGACATATGACAATCTTAGATGTCATCTAAACTCAGCGATAAAAATCGCTTTGAGTGAGCCACATTGAAAAAATACCCATTACTAAGTCCAGGCAATACAAATTTTGAATAAGTCAATCCACACATGATAGCCACATGGTTTTAGATACATCAATTAATGTACTTTCGAATGACATATGACAATCTTAGATGTCATCTAAACTCAGCGATAAAAATCGCTTTGAGTGAGCCACATTGAAAAAATACCCATTACTAAGTCCAGGCAATACAAATTTTGAATAAGTCAATCCACACATGATAGCCACATGGTTTTAGATACATCAATTAATGTACTTTCGAATGACATATGACAATCTTAGATGTCATCTAAACTCAGCGATAAAAATCGCTTTGAGTGAGCCACATTGAAAAAATACCCATTACTCAGTCCAGGCAATACAAATTTTGAATAAGTCAATCCACACATGATAGCCACATGGTTTTAGATACATCAATTAATGTACTTTCGAATGACATATGACAATCTTAGATGTCATCTAAACTCAGCGATAAAAATCGCTTTGAGTGAGCCACATTGAAAAAATACCCATTACTAAGTCCAGGCAATGCAAATTTTGAATAAGTCAATCCACACATGATAGCCACATGGTTTTAGATACATCAATTAATGTACTTTCGAATGACATATGACAATCTTAGATGTCATCTAAACTCAGCGATAAAAATCACTTTGAGTGAGCCACATTGAAAAAATACCCATTACTAAGTCCAGGCAATACAAATTTTGAATAAGTCAATCCACACATGATAGCCACATGGTTTTAGATACATCAATTAATGTACTTTCGAATGACATATGACAATCTTAGATGTCATATAAACTCAGCGATAAAAATCACTTTGAGTGAGCCACATTGAAAAAATACCCATTACTAAGTCCAGGCAATACAAATTTTGAATAAGTCAATCCACACATGATAGCCACATGGTTTTAGATACATCAATTAATGTACTTTCGAATGACATATGACAATCTTAGATGTCATCTAAACTCAGCGATAAAAATCACTTTGAGTGAGCCACATTGAAAAAATACCCATTACTAAGTCCAGGCAATATAAATTTTGAATAAGTCAATCCACACATGATAGCCACATGGTTTTAGATACATCAATTAATGTACTTTCGAATGACATATGACAATCTTAGATGTCCTCTAAACTCAGCGATAAAAAACACTTTGAGTGAGCCACATTGAAAAAATACCCATTACTAAGTCCAGGCAATACAAATTTTGAATAAGTCAATCCACACATCATAGCCACATGGTTTTAGATACATCAATTAATGTACTTTCGAATGACATATGACAATCTTAGATGTCATCTAAACTCAGCGATAAAAATGAGTGAGCCACATTGAAAAAATACCCATTACTAAGTCCAGGCAATACAAATTTTATATAAGTCAATCCACACATGATAGCCACATGGTTTTAGATACATCAATTAATGTACTTTCGAATGACATATGACAATCTTAGATGTCATCTAAACTCAGCGATAAAAATGAGTGAGCCACATTGAAAAAATACCCATTACTAAGTCCAGGCAATACAAATTTTGAATAAGTCAATCCACACATGATAGCCACATGGTTTTAGATACATCAATTAATGTACTTTCGAATGAAATATGACAATCTTAGATGTCATCTAAACTCAGCGATAAAAATCGCTTTGAGTGAGCCACATTGAAAAAATACCCATTACTAAGTCCAGGCAATACAAATTTTGAATAAGTCAATCCACACATCATAGCCACATGGTTTTAGATACATCAATTAATGTACTTTCGAATGAAATATGACAATCTTAGATGTCATCTAAACTCAGCGATAAAAATCGCTTTGAGTGAGCCACATTGAAAAAATACCCATTACTAAGTCCAGGCAATACAAATTTTGAATAAGTCAATCCACACATCATAGCCACATGGTTTTAGATACATCAATTAATGTGCTTTCGAATGACATATGACAATCTTAGATGTCATCTAAACTCAGCGATAAAAATCACTTTGAGTGAGCCACATTGAAAAAATACCCATTACTAAGTCCAGGCAATACAAATTTTGAATAAGTCAATCCACACATCATAGCCACATGGTTTTAGATACATCAATTAATGTACTTTCGAATGACATATGACAATCTTAGATGTCATCTAAACTCAGCGATAAAAATGAGTGAGCCACATTGAAAAAATAACCATTACTAAGTCCAGGCAATACAAATTTTGAATAAGTCAATCTACACATGATAGCCACATGGTTTTAGATACATCAATTAATGTACTTTCGAATGAAATATGACAATCTTAGATGTCATCTAAACTCAGCGATAAAAATCGCTTTGAGTGAGCCACATTGAAAAAATACCCATTACTAAGTCCAGGCAATACAAATTTTGAATAAGTCAATCCACACATGATAGCCACATGGTTTTAGATACATCAATTAATGTACTTTCGAATGAAATATGACAATCTTAGATGTCATCTAAACTCAGCGATAAAAATCGCTTTGAGTGAGCCACATTGAAAAAATACCCATTACTAAGTCCAGGCAATACAAATTTTGAATAATTCAATCCACTCACATTAGCCCACTGGCTAATGTGACGTTAAAAAATGGTTATAAATGGTTATAAAAATGGGTTCGAAACTGTATTGTAATAAACGGAAACACTCAGGCACTGGAATCATTCAGTAAGAAATGTGGGAGCGGGCCAAGGTACCGAAACAAAATTTATTTCTTTAAATGGTCATCCGTTAATATTAAACTAAGGGTGAATGTTTTACTTGACTAACCTTCTCCTTTCACACAACTTCCTCGGGAACCGGAATTTTGGACACATGAAGTTCAAAATCCAAAAAATGTTTTAAACTTTGAAAGATCAAGAAGTGATATTTCTTGTTTGGACGAACACACTACATATTTCTTCCATTTCCGGCGCCGCAGGCAAAAATTTTGAGAATTTCGAACGCTCACCTGACCCTAACCGTCCTCAAATTTTTTACTTTTTTAGCGCCGCAGGCGAAAATTTTGAGAATTTTGAAAGGTTAATGCGCTAAATTTCTTCCTTTCTCAAGCGCCGCAAGCTAAAATTTAGAATTTTGTAAGGCCAAAATCGAAAAAAATTCACTTTCTTTGCTTCGTTGGCTAGAATTTTGAGATTGATATTCGCGGATTTGGCGCATCATATCCGTATCTATCCGTATCCGTCCGATTTTTAAAAAAACAGTATCCATATCCGTCCGTATCCGGATATATCCGCGGATATCCGGATATTATCCGTATTCGTGCACAGGTCTGATTTAAAGATTAAAACTGGTCTGTTTTAACTTCTAATGATTATTAATAAAGAAATTTTATTTTTAATAAAAAAATATAAATGAGAACATTCAAGTGTCGATAAAAAATTTAAAGTTTGGTATTTTAAATGATCGAATATATTGTTAATTTTGTTTTATTATTCTCAATTCACTCATATTGATATGAAATTCTCTGAAAAATAGAGAAATAAATTTCAATGTGTTCAAAGTAAGGGTTACCTCAACGACTGACAATAAATGAACAATTCGAGTTATTCTGGACATTGCCCCAGCAAAAGGGTCAGAATTGGATGAGATTGGCATAATTAAGGAAGAAATGGAATTTCTGAGAGAATATTGACTTAGAGAGCTTGAATAACTGTTTTGAATGGCTTGCACAATTTTTTTACTTTCCGCGCTCAATTGTGGAACTAAAAATAAATCATATTTATTTGAATATAAGTTAAAAGCTACCTGGACTAAAAAAGCAAATCAATCTAAGCAATTCAAATTCCAATCGGCTGACATTCAATTCCCGAATTGGATTAACAATTTCAGTTTTTAGAACCTCCATTTTGGAAGGACTTAGCAAAAGTAAAGATATTGGAGGAGATTCTTGTTTTTGTTCTGTTGGGAATAATAATTGACTGGCCAATAATAACCATCCAGAAGGTCTTGAACGGCCCATAACTATGAAATTCTGAAAAAATTTTTCAACATTTCAAAAATTTTTAGGGCATTTGGTACCTTCTCCTGTTCATTAAACAATTCCAATTCATGCAAAGATTGTATCCATTCAAGATAATCACTGAGTAATTTAACTCGTCCTTGGCTGGGCAATCCAGAATTGGTTTCCTCTGTATTTCTCGGAATCATTGAAATTCCAACAGGCTCGTTTTTAGGTGCCAATCCTTCAGATTCTTTAATTTCAGATTTTCTTTGCCTCTTTTCCATTCTTCTAGCTTTTTTAATTTCAGTCTCGGGTAATGTAAAAGCTCGCTGACTTGGACCAGTCCCATCCCAATTTTCATCTCGAGAACGCAAAGCTGTACTTTTCCCCCAGCTGTCTCTAATCACTAAAAATATTATTATGAATGATAAAATTGAATTAATGTTGAATTAGAGGTATTCTAACATAATAGTTTCATAAGACATTGCCCTTACAAAAGTGAATAGTATGTAAGGTGTCCTTGGGACTTAGGGATGAAATTTTGTAGACAGGTAGATTATAAAACCTCCCTAGGGAAAGGCTTGTGGTCCGAATGGGCTTATAACGGATCTCTTAAATTATTTCCATATCACATCCCATCCTTAAAAATTCCTTTTAAACTTACAATTTGGATCCATCCCAACTTTCAAGCATCGCTCAAGGCGACAGGCTCTACAACTATTTCGACGACCTTGAAAATTATTTTTTTCAATTATTAAAATAATTTTTTTTAATTTTTTCACCATGTTCAATTTCACATTTAACAAAAACAGAATTGTTGTTAACATTTAAACAAATATAATTTCGACGGCACGAAATTGTACGCCAGAAGAAGCCTTTACACCCATTACAACACCAACTACCATAATGTTGTTTGGCATTTCTAGCTCCACAAACTAAGCATTTGGCCGTTTTAATGAGCATAATTTTTATTTTTAATTAATTATCTTTAAAAAGAAAATTTTTTAAACAGAAGTAGGGATAAGAGGAAGAAATTAGAAACGATAATGCGCGATATGGCCTTACTCAACGGCCCATTAGGATTTCTATATGAACCTAAATTTATCAACTTCAGCAATTGCGAATCGCAATTCGCAATTGCCTCCGTCTCTGATCGGGTGTCAGCTTTGTTAATATTTAATCAAAAATATTGAAGAAAATTAGCCAGATAATTTTCAAAATAAATTAAATTTAGAAAACATGAAGAAAGTTAACTAAGGAATTAAATAAAAAATATTTAAGGCATATTAGTGCATGGCATTTTCTCAATTTCATTAATGGGTGCATTTAAGTGTATGATGTGACCTATTTATAGTCGGAAAGATTAATACATTTTTGATAAAAAAAATTAATTAAATTGCAGAAACCCATTTTTTATCTAAAACAGATAAATTAACGCCCAAAATAATTAAAAATATTTACTTTAAAAATACCAAAATGTGATTATTAACAATTTAAATGTCTGTACTTTAATGCAAAACAGGAAGTAAAAAATGGTGACAAACAAAAACAATAACAAAGTGCATGCAGGCAACCATCTAATATGAGTGTATTTTTGGGGTGTTAATTTGGTGAAAAAAAAAAGAAAAAGAAAGATTTAATGTCGAGATGAACCCAAAGTGTTTGTATTTTATGATTTAATGAATTAATTAGTTAATGAATTAAAAATATTTTTATGAGAAAGGGGTATGATTAAAGTTGACATTTATAATGAATATAACAATGGTCTAGTCATGTTATTGTTAGATGGTATTTTAAACAATACATAATAACAATTATTATACTAACACTAATAATAATATTTGTTATTAATAATAGGTAACAGTTGCCATAAAAGATTTGGTCCTAGTAAATGATTTCATGTTTTAATGTAGGGTTGCACCCGTATGGGGTTTTCTCATTGTTTCAGGGATGCATGCCATTGCGTATTGCGGCAAAGATTTTAAAATTGAACCTGCGGATTGTGTCATCGGAATTTTAAAAAATCCCTGGGCGTGTTTCGGGCCGGGGATGATTGAAAAAAAGTTCGAGAACAAGGGGCATGAGATGCAGCTCTATATTAATGCCCATTTCAAAAGCATTGAATCTTGAACAAAGTTTCAATAACTTTATTCAAAATGAAATTTAGTTTCTCAATCTAAAAATAATAGATGAAGCACTAGAAGTTAATATTTATTTACTAGCAAAGTGAAGATTTAAATAATCCCTTACATTTAAACAGGAAGTTTTTTTGAGAAAAAATGAAAGAAAGTGTGTACTGTAAATATTAAAATTTTAATATGGAATATAAAGATAATTATTTATTTCGCCGTTTTTTATGTAACGCTAAAGCCAAAAGCTCAGAAAAATGAACTCTTTGTCTGTCAGTAGTACATTTTTTACTTCCGCTTTTTATTTATTTGTCCTTTGTTACAAGCTGTCACGGGGTGGGGACGTTAGGGCGTAGTAACAATAGCGCGTTGGCTATAAAAATGAAGCCCCTGCCTAGAACTGTGAAAATTTTCCTGGGATATTTTATAGTAGGGAGACAAAAAGGTTCAAATAAACTGTTAGATAATGATCGGAAATAAAGACCGTAGCAGGTCAAATTTTACAATATAAATCTGTATATTATGATCAACCCCGAACGTCCTAGAAAATTGTATAAGAATACATATAGGCTAAATGAAGATTTCAAATAGGTATTCAGACTTTGAGATCCCATATCCATTACTACTTGCCTAAGTAGACCATGAAGTCTAGTCCGGATACACTATTTTCCTATTCCAGTCCATGAAAGAATTTCTTTTTAAAAAGTTTTGTGGGATGAATCCTCGTTTAAATCCCCTATTTTATAGGCCTTCCAGAAACGCCAAACTAATCCCGGGCCAAAAAACCCTCCCCTCCCACCACGCCCTTTTATTCTCTTTTTTATTTTGCCACTTTCCTCTATAAGGAAATAGCGCCGCTTTTCACTTTTATGTTTTTTTTTCCTTCCACGCCCATTTCAACCTCAAAAATATTACTTCCTTGTTTGTGCTTTTGCCACGTCAGTTTGCGTGTTTTGCACTTTACATACAAGTCTCGAATCGTAGAAAAGCAAAATAAAATAAGAATACAATAAAAATACACGGAAGTAAATTAGCAATAAAAAAAGAGAGAAATTAAAAAGCTATTTATTTTTTTGATTATTTAAGCAACTAGAAAATATTTAAATAGAGGGCAAATTATTTTGTTAAGAACACGGAAGTAAAATTTTATTAAAATTATTAGTAATCTGTATAGTAAATATTATCATTAAAAAATGATGGAAATTAATTAGGATTTAAATTATTAATGCAGATTATTTTAAAATAATTTCCGCCTAAAATTTTAATATCATCATTAATACCCTAAACTTAAAGATTTGTCAATTTTAATATTAAATCTAAAAAATTTTTTGATAAATTCTATTCGTATATTTAAATGAGGCCCACCATGTCTGGGATTATATTTAGAAAATATGGCAAAATTCGGAAAATTCAAAAAAGGAGGAAGATGGAGCATACTTTGAATAAGCATGGCATTTCAGCCACTCGGGTGGCATTTTAGCTTAAATAAATACAATTTTTAGATTAATACTGTAGCATGAATTTATTTTAGTGATGGGGATTAATTAAAATATTTGTATTTAAGACATTATAAAGCTTAAATTAATATTTATGTAGACAGAATTTCTGCCTATTAATATTATTGGAACTACTGTATATCTTATTAAAAAATTTTTCAAAAATTTTTTATGAACATTGCGGCTTTTCCTTGGAATTATCTGCCATTAAATTAACCATCTAAAAATTTAAATACTAACAAAAAGCTTAAAAAATCAAAAAAACTATGATGGTATTAACAATTTGTAGATGTAAATTTTAATGGATGGATATAAAATTAAAATTAAAATTTGATAAAAAATCATTTCCGGCATAAATTGTTTAAAGTTTTGAGGTAGAAAAATAAATCTTAAAAAGTAATCTTTTCCTTGTGTTTACTTATCCTTTTTATAAGCTTGCACCCAAAGTACTAATCTCAGCACAAAAATAAGGAAAATATGGAAATTAAAGCTTAAAAATGCCAAAATGATGTTAAATATGTCCAAAATACGTATTTGAATTAGTTTATGAGTTATTATTTTTAGAAATTTAGATTTATTTACATACATGTGGATGAGTAGTTGTTTACCAAAATTTGTTTATTTACTTACTACTTTTTCGAAATTCAAAGTATTTTTTAAATTCTACTTAATATTAAATATTACTAAAAAATTACTTCCTTGTTGTTTAAACAGGATATAGCTTTTTTTATTTCCTTATTTAATAAGCTTTTTTATAAATTTGTGAGGGATAATTACGTCAGATTTATGTGTGGTAATTACAAAAGTTGGAAGGATAATAATTCTTAAAGGAGAATAAAGTATATTATTGTACCAACAAACATTCCAATGACCATTTTATTGAATAATTTATTTTTTATTAGAGCCCGCCAAATTTTGAGACTGGAGTTTAAAATTAAATTAACCCGATTTAAATTGAAGTAATAGCCTTTCAAGAAAAATTTTTTCTAGGAAAATTTTCAAAAATTAATTTCCAAATTTGCGCTCATTTATCTTCATTTGCTATTTTATATTAATATTTTTTTTTAATTGACAGAAGTAAAAAAATATTTTCTTAGAAAAATATGAAAGATAGAAGATGGAATTTAGTTATAATTAATTATTTTTATTATATATTTTCTTGCATCTGGTTGAATCGATTTAAGTTAAAAATCGCTGATAGCGATAATTATTATTGGTTTAGTTAATTATTTAGTTATAATATCAGTGAAGGTCGTAAAAGGTATTTTTATAGGTTATTTTTCTTTATTTACTTTATAAAAGTTACCTAGAGCTACTAATAACTGATAATAATGAAGATTGGATTTATTGGCGCTGGAAAGATGGCACAGGCATTGGGTTAGTTAGTCTAATAGATAGCTAATCTAAAAATCCAAATCGTCTCTATACCAACTTATTTTAGCCAGAGGACTAATAAATTCTGGACGTTATCCTTCACAAAATTTGATGGCAAGTTGCCCTAAGGTACCTTACGAATTAAAATTTAATTAATGAAAATTAAAGACCGATGTCTCTTTATTGGAGGATTGCAAGGTTGTAAAAATTATAAATTAAACACTGCAACTTGATTTTAGAAGCTTGGGATTAATACAACACATGATAATTCACAAGGTGTTCGATTTAAAAACTAAAAATTTACATTAAATATTTAAAGTTGCTCGTGAAAACGATGTGGTAATTTTGGCAGTTAAACCAACTATCGTGTCTAAAGTTGCTTCGGGTAATAAGTTAAATAGTACTGTTTCACCACTAATTTTAGAAATTGCACCAGCCATCCGCCGAGATCATTTACTTATTTCTATAGCGCTGGGTATCAATATATTTCTATCAATGAAATTTGTTTTATTCTTAGGCATCACCATACGCTACATTGAGCAGTTATTGCCTTCGAAATCCCGAATTGTTCGTGTAATGCCAAGTATATTAATTTAGACATTTTTATATTAAATGAAAGTTAAATTTAGATACTCCTGTAGTTGTTGGAGCTGGTGCTTCAGCTTATAGCATGGGTACGTAAATTGATATTTGCATTAATTTTTAATGATTTTTTCCGGAAAACTATATTACCCATATTCTGTAAGCTAAGTATACGAAAAAGTGTTTTCCGGAAATAAAACTAATAGTTTCCGGATAATATTACATTGCCTAAGCTTACGAGAAAAAGTTTTCCGGAAATAATGTTACTCAAGTTTCAGGTTAATATTATATTGCTTAAGTTTACGAAAAAGCTTTCCGGAAAATTATATCACCCATATTCTGTAAACTTAAGTTTACGAAAAGTTTTTTCCGGAAATAATATTACTCATGTTTCCGGATAATATTATATTACTTAAGTTTACGAAAAAATGTTTTCCGGAAATAATATTACTCAAGTTTCCGGATAATATTATATTGCTTAAGTTTACGAAAAAGCTTTCCGGAAAATTATATCACCCATATTCTGTAAACTTAAGTTTACGAAAAGTTTTTTCCGGAAATAATATTACTTAAGTTTCCGGATATTATTATATTACTTAAGTTTACGAAAAAATGTTTTCCGGAAATAATATTACTCAAGTTTCCGGATAATATTATATTGCTTAAGTTTACGAAAAAGCTTTCCGGAAAATTATATCATCCATATTCTGTAAACTTAAGTTTACGAAAAGTTTTTTCCGGAAATAATATTACTTAAGTTTCCGGATATTATTATATTACTTAAGTTTACGAAAAAAAAGTTTTCCGGAAATAATACATATTACTCAAGTTTTAGGATAATATTATGTTTTCCGGAAATAATATTACTATAGTTTCCTGATACTGTTATATTGCTTAAGTTTACGAAAAAGCTTTCAGGAAAATTATATTACTTTAGTTTCCGGATATTAAATTATTAAATATATGAATAATTTAAACATTATTGAAATATTTATTTTCTCAGGATCAGCATGTCAAGATGGTTGGTAGAGTAAATTTTCAAAATCTTATTAAAAATTTTAAATTCCTATTAAAGGTGATTCCCAAATCGTTCAAGATCTTCTATCAACCGTTGGTTATGCTGTTGAGGTCTTTATTATATTCAATTCCAAATCAAATAATTTGCAAAAATTTCTTTAGCTTCCTGAAATACACATTGATCCTGTTACAGGACTAAGTGGAAGTGGACCATCTTATGTAACATAAACTATTTTAATTCGGTATAAAAGATTTTGTTTATTAGGGATTTGCTATAATTGAAGGGTTGTCTGATGGCGGAGTTAAATTGGTTAGAAAACTTAAAATTTGATTTTAAATTATAAAATTTGTTAGGGATTACCAAGAGATCTCTCAATGAAATTAGCAGCAATGACTTTATATGGTGCTGCAAAAATGTTTTTAGAGACCGGTGAACATCCAGCAATACTTAAAGAGGCTATCCAAAGCCCTGGTTGGTTTATTAACCCTATTTAGGGATAAATTTTAGATATACAGGGATGAGAGATTTCCAGGCCTTTATAATAAAAGTCAATATTAAATTTCAAGGTGGGAGTACAATTTTTGGCATGTACGAATTAGAAAAGGGTGGATTGCGCGGTCTTTTAATCAATGCAGTCGAAGCTGGAGCCGAGCGTTCCCGACATATGGGCCAAACTTCTTTGCCACATAGCCGAACGTCTGTAATTTATCGCAGTGAAATTTAATGAATTACTGCGGCAAAAATGTGAAGAAAGAAAAGAAAACAATAAATGAAATTAATTTCAAATTAATTTTATGTTGAATATTTTATGTAATAGGAGGTAGTTAGATCCGAAAATTTTTTAGAACAAAATTTTGGAAAAAATTTTTTTGGAATAGTTTAAGCCTGCTGGTAACTTAACTGTTTTTTAGAAATTTTTGATCTGACCACCAATAAATAATATTTTATAAATAAATATATATTTATTATTTGTTTTCTTATCTTTTGGATAAATTTTTGGCTTTCAATATTTTTAAATAACTATAAAAATTTTATAAAAAAATTTCAGAAAGAAAGCAAGAAAGGAAATTGAAGAAGAATTCAGTGATGATGAAGACGATACTTCTTCGGATTCGGACGATGAAAGTAGTGATGATGATGAAGAGGATGAATTAAAAAATAACGAGAATAATGGGAAGAACAAGTCTTTGAAGAAAAGGATAAAGAAAAAGGATTTAGAAAATAATTAAAAGAGTTAGAAGAGGAAGTTCTGAATTTTTATTTTGCCAAGTTTAATATTTTTATATAAGTACATATCTTCAAAAACTAATGTGTAGTTATAGACATAATTTCTTTTTGCGTATTGCAGATAAATACATATACATATAAAATTGTGTGATAAGTAAAGTTGGGAGTAAGTCCTTTTCTTAAGGATTAGGATAGTCTGTGGTGATAAACCTAGGCATTTTAGACATATGTAATCTGTTAAAATGAAGATGAATTCAAAGGGCGGAATTATGTACAAATACGTAAGAGGTCAGTAAGAACGGCAAGTTTATGGATTGAAAATGAGGAGAGGGAATGACTGAGGACATTCGTCATTTTTTCTCCTTATTGTATATTTTTTTACTTTTTCCATATTTCTCATTTTATGTAAACAAAAATTTATTTTACAATAAAGTGAAATCAATAATTTTTTCAACAAAATATTTTTAAAATACAGATGAATAAATAAAACCGAAATGCTTTAAAATACTATGTAGACGTTTTTAAAATAATTCTAAAAATAACACCAAAGCTATTATTTCAATCACTTCTTTTGTTCAAGTAAATTTATCAAATTTTTCAGCTAATTCAAAACAATCAGGACAAGTCTGACAAACCAGAATATTTTTATTTTGTCAAAAAACGCGACAAATTTTGAAAATTTTTATCCCACAAATTTGGCATTGAATCTGCCATTTTAAAGTTTTTTGGCATTTTGTTTATTTTAAATTTTGTGTAAATCGATTTCCTAATTTTCTCAACAAAACTTTTTTCAAATTTTCGAGTTTATTAATCCATTATTAAATTTGTTTATTTCAGTTCTCTACCTCTTAATTCTTGTCAAAATGCGTCCATTACGTCGTTCATCCCGCACCAAAGTATTTGCCGTTAAATTTTCTCCACATACAACTCCATTAAAAATCAAAAGATCTACAAGTATTAATACTTTTACAATTCCATTTAAACAAAAAGAAAGAAGTTTAGCAATTAAAAAAGAGCAGGAAAGGGCTGAAGTTGTAAAAGAGAAGAGGAATGAGGAGGATGAAATGTCGCAGGCCAAAGACCAGTCGCAGTCATTCAAACAAAAAGAGGGTGAGTTTTGTGATTTTGTTTAAATTTTTGTTCGATTGATTATCTAAAAATTATTAACCAATTTAATTTTAAGCCAACCACGGACGCATTAGTGTTGCAATTAAAAACATTGCCCCTGCATCTACTTCCATTATTCAACTTTCTGAATCGTTTAGAGTTGCAGGTCTCAATTGGTGGGGATATTTTATACTCTCCCTTTAATCCTCTAAAAATATTTTTAGGCGACTTCAAATCCTTTTTAATAGAAATACTTTTACTGGTCAGAGCCGTTTTATCTCAGTCTACGTTATTTGTGAGGATTTGCCTTTTAATGAAACCCTGACTGCTCTAATTACTTTTCGTTTGGTCTCGCAAGAGGAAGGATATGCTGGAATGGATAACGAAGTGGGAAAAATTTTATTTTACAAGAAATATCCTCCTTAAAATTTAGATTATTGCACATTTCAATGGCTCTAATCGTTCTGTTGGTATTTCAAACTTTATATTGTTCAAAAATATTTTTGCGGAGGACAGTGAATATGTCAATAAAGATTTTGATGAAGCTCAAATTGTTGCAATTATAAGAGTGAAATCAAGGCAGAAAACGATTATGAGGTGAGGGAATTTAGTTGGAAATAAATGAGGATATTTATACTAGACTTTACAAAGAGTTTTAAGGCTTGTAATTATAAAATCTTATCAAAAATTAAATAAGTTTCCACCTAAAATATGGTTCGGAATAATACGAGTATTTTTGGAAAAATTTCGGAAAACGAACAGAGCGCAAATGGGTCAAATCATATGTCATTCGAAAGAGCTCGTCGAGTTGAGTCGAATGATGAAAAAATTTTCGTGCGGACTCATAGAGGGGCTGAGATATAGGTCTGCGAAAATCGAAAAACCATAGGGGGGACCAAGCACTTTTTTGGGGTGAAAAATTCGAAAATGCAAATAATAGCTTATTCGAAAGAGCTCGTCGAGCTGAGTTGAATGACATCAAAATCACCTCGAAATCTTGATTCTGAGCCGAGATAGAGGCCCAAAATGGTCAACGTAAACCTATGGGGCGTAGGCGAGGCGCTTGTGCAAAACCCCGCGCTTCGCGCGGGGTTTTGCGGCACGCGCCTCGCGGGGAGTCTACGGGCGATGGGTTCTGGGCTCGTAACTTAATCCTATTCCAATTATCGCTGTAATGGGTTATCTGGCTTCCTCCGTAGCAGGTAGTACCTCTACATAGACCATAGGTAAGGAGCTAAAACAAACGATCATAACTTTGTCAAATCAAGTCAGATTTCGTTGATTTTGGTGTCATTCGACTCAGCTCGACGAGCTCTTTCGAATGAGGTATAATTTGCATTTTCGAATTTTTCACCCCAAAAAAGTGCTTGGTCCCCCCTATGGTTTTTCGATTTTCGCGGACCTATATCTCAGCCCCTCTATGAGTCCGCACAAAAATTTTTTCGCCATTCGACATAACTCGACGAGCTCTTTCGAATGACATATAATTTGGCCTATTTCGGATCTGTTCGTTTTCCGAAATTATACCGTATTTTTTAATAAAAATTTCAATCTTTTAACAGTACCAACCAAAAAATTAAATATCTTTGTCAACTTCCTCAAACATCGACTACCCAACTTTCTCGTTTTGAATTAAATAAAGAAAATACCAAGAAGAGAAGAAGCAAATTATTTAACTCAAAAATCAGTGATAAAATCTTTAAATTAGAAGAAAACGAATCTAAAGAAAATGTAGTGCAAAATAAAGAGAGAGATAACACGCTTGAGTCTATAGAAAATAAAAATCCGGGTAAGGAAGTTAAGCTGGAAATTTATTTTTTTAAATTTTAGATGAAAATTCAGTTGCCTTAAATGAATCAGTCAACAATTCAGGGAAGACAAATACTACTTGTGCTAAAAACAAAATAACGGATTTCTTTCCTAGTCGTCGAAGTAGTCGGATTACACCAAGCTTTTTGGATGTATGTTTATTAATCCCTACAAGTTTATAAAATCAAAATTTAATTTTTGTAGATCTTGCGTCTTCAAGTACTCAAAGAACAAGTAAACTTGGCTGTAAATGAGCCCTTTTTGGAAATATTTACCTCAGAAACTAAAGGGAGAGGTTTACGCACACAACTTGCTTTCTCTAAGGATGAGTTTGTAGTTGAATATAAAGGTGTGGTTTGAATAAAATTATTTTTTATTTTAATCAAAAGATTGGACTATATTTTTATTCCTAGCCCATGTTCCCCTTAATCTCCTCAAATCCTTAATCCGCAAAAATCTTTCTTTACCCGTCCAAATATCTGGAGTTAACATTCAGACTCAGTTGCACTCCAGATTCAGTTGACCTCCTTGGAGTTTACCTTCTGAGTTGATCCCTTTATTAAGGCACGATCAGAAATATTGGAAACAATTATTTAATAGTAATTTAGAATTTAATATTTTTAGGGGATATAATAAATATGAATAGAGCCAAACGGAGAGAATATGTTTACTCACTTGATCCAAAAATTGGTTGCTATATGTTTTATTTTACGGTATTGATTTATGAATTTTAAAAATTCAATTTAAAATTTAGCATAATGAAAAGAAACTTTGTATTGACGCTACAAAAGAAACAGGAGATAAAGGACGTTTAGTCAATCACAGCCGTTTGGTGCCTAATTTAAAAGCTAAAGTGAATCGACTATTTTTTAAAATTTTTTACCAAATATACCATTTAAGATAATCGATTTTGGTGAAAAATATCCTCATTTATGTCTAGTCGCAATACGTGAAATACAAATTGGAGAAGAGCTTTTGTTTGATTATGGGGATCGGTAAATTTAAAAAATTTTATTTTCGAAAAATTAAAATTTATTAGCACTGCCTTAACTGTTGAGAAGCATCCTTGGCTTTTAAATACATAAAAAGAAATTTTCTAAAATTTTGGCAAATTGTTGAATTTTTGCAATTTTTAAAATATTTTCTAGATTTTTTGAATCTCAATTTTCTTTTTTCATTCTTTCAAATCTTTGCATTTTTCATGTTTTCTACCTTTCAAATCTTTCATTATTTTACCTCTGATTTTTACCTTTGATTGTTGTTGAATTTTTCAATATTATAGCTTGTGTTTTTTTTTCATTTTTCTTTTTTGTGTTAAGATTAAATCTGTTAAAATTTTTCTAATACTTGGGCCAAAAGATCTCCTTGATAACCGTGATTTTCTATCGTGATCTCGTCTTGGTCCGATCTCTAGTTAACCTATCATTCGAGTGGATAATCATCAAAAGTTAGGTAATTAATTGAGGGGGAGCGGCATTGTTCATATTTAATTTTATCTTTTCAACATATGTATCACAACATTTGATTTAATATTTTTTTAATTATTTAATTCGAATCAATCTCTCTTCTTCTTCAACTTTTATAGAAGTTAATACTTAACATTCTTGAATTTCCGTAATTATAAATTTTTGTTACACTTTCAAAATCAGCGTCAGAATAGTAATCATCCCAGAGATATTCTCCATATTTGCTGGCTACTCTAAGCTGAAAAACAAATTAAGAGAAAATTTTTCAGTATTGGAACTCAGATTTGACAAATACTTACCTTAATTTTATATTTTTTAGGATTGGTATCAGTAGCATTTTTACGTAACATATCAAAATGAACTCCAAAAATATTTGAAATTTTAATATTCGGTAATTTGCCTTTATATATCTCTCCGTCGATAAAAATCTGAAATTACATAATATTAAATTTAAATATTTACTCATTATTCATGTGACTTTGTCGTCTCCCGTTTTTAGAAGATTGCAGATTTTAAAAATCCACTTATTTTTAATAAAAACGTATCTTTCTCACCTTATCGTTCGTATCAATTCCCAGGCTTATAATATCGCCTTTTTCCGATGCCAATGAAAACTTTAAATATCCAGGATTAGTTCTTTCAACTTGAATTCCAGCATAACTATTCTTCTCTACAGTGAAGCCCTTACCAAAGCAAGGAACTAGATCAAATTCGTTGGTCTTTTATATGTAAATTGGTATTAGATAGATTAATTAAATGGTTCACTTACCACATTGGTATACACTGTAAAAGGTGGTGGGCAAGTTGGTGATGGTGTAGGATAATCATCGTTATCCTCATGACAATCCTCAGAAAATGGATATAAAATTAGAGAAGAAAATAAAAGAATTTTTATTAATAAATGATACATCTAAAGAAAATTTTTAAAATTTGAACTAAGGCCTAACATAACTTAAAAATATGTGATAGGGTTATGATCAGGAAGGTTGTTGAGCTATGATCAGGAATTGAAGGTCATTATTTATCATTATTTGATAATGATAATTATTATCGAATATCTATGATCATTATATCTATGAGGTAGTAGTATCTAGAATATGTAAATTCGTACTTTAGAGATCGTTTGAGAATATCCACCTCGATAATTGAGATTATTGTTAGATGGCTTGTTTCCGTCATATCTCAAACCGTTTGGGATATCTTTTGTAATTTCAATTATCACTATTATTAAATACAAACCTCTAGCTTTAAAAACCCCAAAACCCATTTTAAAAAATATTTCTTTTCGAATAGGGACATAAAATTTAAATTTCTAAGAATGATATTATATTTGTCAGTTGACAACATAAGAACAATAACTATTGTTATTCTTTGGATATTTACATTTGATAATGCTTAAAGAGTTGTTAATTTTTTTAATAATCCACGTTTTATTTTAAAATTATTTTTGTTAATTTCCTTCTTAAAATGATGCAATGCTACGCCATTTAATTTGAAAAAATAGAAAATTTTATTTTAAGAATTGAAATTAAAATTAAAAAAATATTATAAGACAGAAAAGATAGTTTACAAATTAATTTTTGAGCCAACTTTCATCTAGAGGAATCCAACTTTCAGGCAGCATTGATAATGAATCTATTAAAGAGCCTTTCCTAAATCTTCTTATGAAGAAAATTGGTCGATCCTGAAAATTAAATTTTTGCCTTTTTAAAATTACTAAATTACTTCAGGCATTAGATATCCCATCCAGGCAGCAAAGGAAGAAAGATCAGCAGTATCGAGGAATGAATCGCATATTTGTTGAGCAAAGTTTAGTTCCTCTCCACGAGACAGATTTAAGTCGGCAACATAGTGAACTTTACTTATTGGCTGAAATAAAAAAATAGAGATAAGTTCGAGGTGAGATCTCGTTCAAAAAGAGAATCGAGATTCCTTTTAAGGTAGCAAAGCTTATGCTAGCAAATAAGTGGTGGTAGGAGATGACTTAGAGAAATACCGTATTTATTAGGTAGAGACCTCAGTAGATCTTTAGAAATAAAACGAAGGTCGGATCTCAAAACGAGGGATTGGATAAAGTCAAAAGAGGTCTTTGATCCTGCTAATCCTGATGGAAAATAAATTCCAATAATTACCTCTTCAGCTTTAATTGTCGTCAAAAACCCTTTGTCAGTTCCAAAGAGTACCAATGAATAAGTCTTGTTTTTCTAAAGAATAAAATATTCTATTTTAAACTAATGGACTCTCACCAATAGCCTCTTTAAAATTTTTATTATCCGGATAAGCGCCTTGTTTATCTCGCCAGTTTGTGATTCACCCATACCTGTAAAATCACCTACACGTGTATGAATGCATATTTTGTGTGATTTATCCTCACTAAAATTTTTTAAAAATATTTCTCATTCATTTTTCACACCTAATAATCTTATCCTTTATAGCAGTAACTTTTGAAACAAGTTCTTTGCCAAATTCAAATATTTTAAGGATTTGTGGTCGCATATGATTAAAGTATCGAGTATTTTCAAAAACAGGTTCACCCGTTAACATTAACGCTCTCCCTTTATTTTGACCCAAAAGTCTGAAAATTTTATTTAAAATCAGAAATTTAAATTCATTTACATTTTTGGATCATTATAATCGCAGCATTCTTTAGCAAAAGCAATTGAGTGAATATCTGTCACATTTTTCCTCTGAAAAATTGCTTCATATTTTTTGAATTTCTACAAAAAAAGATTACCAAAAAATAAATTTTTGAATGAAAATTAGGGAAAGCATGAGCTAGTTCTTTATCTATTTGATGCATTGTAGAGTCATCATGAATGTAAACAGGTGTTCTGTTAAGCAACTTTCCCATTGCGTAGAGACTAGCGAAACGATACATCTTTAATATTAAAATTATAAAAGTTTCAATGCCGTAAAGTTTGGACAAAATCTACAGGTCCCATAGATAGTGCAAATTTGAGATATGGATGAACTTTAAAAAGTTATGGTATCTCATGTGATGCATCGGATATGGCTGTAAAGATCTAATTTTAATTTCATGATTTTAATTCATGATTTATTATTTACTATTCTAAATTAAGGGATGGAGTAGAAGACTGGTCTAGATCCAAGCTTGATACTTTAAAAAATCTGATATCAATATCAAAGATCTCGTTTCGGTCTGATCTCGAATTTAGATTGTGTAAAATACATAATATTCCTTTTGATATTTTTATTAAATTACTTGATTCCCAAGTCCTCCGTTCATCGTTCTGGTATAAATAAAACGATCAAATTCCGGCATTTCTCTGACAGAATCTAAAGGTTCTAGCCATTGTTCATAATATTTTTTGTTTTCATTTTTATCTGCTGATTTTTTTGTTTGGGTAATTTCTACCCAATCATAATCTTTTTTACTTGTATTAGGCCTGTATATTGAAGAACAAATCATTATAATAAGAAACATGGAGATAATAAAAATTATTAAATAATTAATATTTTTAATGATTTTTCGGCCATTTTGATGTTTAAATTGAAAAGACAATTTTTGATATTTTTCCATTAAATATCTTGGGAGATTAATAAATTAAAATGAGCTAAAATACCGTGAGATATAAATAATATTAGAAATATTGAAGTAATTATAGTTTGAGTGAGATTGGGGAAGGTTTTTTGGGAAAATTAAGCAGATTAAACAAACAAAAAATTTTATAAAGCAAAAAGCATCACACAAATTTATAAAAAAATAATTTTTTATATTTTTAAGAGAATTTTATGTACATTTTCGTAAACTCTCGTGGATTTAAATAAAAATAAAGCAAACAAAACCCGAGAAAAATTGTCCCATAAATAATAAAAAAGAAAAAGAACATTGATTTTATTCACTTCGATTTCATGCTTTCTATTTTTTATTTATTTAAATATTTTAAAATTAAGGGATTGAGAATTTTTTTATCATTCAAAACAAATAAGAACCATATCTAATATAAGCCCCCCAAAGTGAATCGTTGAAAAATAGACGCTCAGGGCATTAATTAGAGCATTTACGTTAATTAAAATTTATTTAAAAATTAAAAAAAATTGTTTAAAATTTTAGAATATTAATAGGGAAAATATAATCAGAAAATTAATAAGGAAAAGCATTATTATTTAAAAAAATATATTAGTTTCGAATTAATCTTTAAGCCAATTTTCATCAATAGGAATCCAACTTTCAGGCAACATATATAATGTATCAATTGTTGGATTTTGCATAAGTCTTCTAATAAAGAAAATTGGTCGATCCTAAAACTTGAATTTTTTATCTTTTTAAAATTTTATAAATTACATCAGGCATTAAATAACCCATCCAAGCAGCATAACTAGACAAATTCTTCTCCACGAGTCAGATTTAGGTTAATAACATAGTGGACTTTACTTATTGACTGAAAGATATAATTTTATTTACAGCTGACATAGCTATGGGCTATAAGCCTTTTTTGGCTTAATACCAACAATTTTTAGCTAACTAATAGCAAAGCACACCAAGTGACAAACCAAATGAGAAAATTTGTATAGGGTTGTCGTTTCGAACGGAGCCAGACCGAGGAACCGAGATTTTTTGTTTCGGTTAAGGATATTCGACGATCTTCGATGAATCGACAACCCTAGATGTTAAAGTAAAATTGGGGTTACCTTATCAACTTTAATGGTTTTCAAAAAGTCCTTATCTGTTCCAAATACCAACAATGAATAAGTTTTGTCTTTCTTAAAAATAAAAATTCCTTGATACTAATTAAAATTAACAAAATCTCACCAATAATCTTTTCAAAATCTTCAATATCCTCACATGTGCTTTATTTACCTCTACAGTTTGTGATTCCCCAATACCTTTAAAATCACCAACTCGTGTATGGATACACATTTTGTGTGATGAAGTATCTTCACTAAAAATTTTTAAAAATAGTAAAAATTAACAAGTTTTTCAGTTACCGCACCTAATAATCTTATCCTTTATAGCAGTAACTTTTGAAACAAGTTCTTTGCCAAATTCAAATATTTTAAGGATTTGAGGTCGCATATGATTAAAATATCGAGTATCTATGAAAATAGGTCCACCAGCCAAATATAATCCTCTTCCTTTATTTTGTTCCAACAATCTTAATATAAAGGCATATTCTTGGAAAATCTCCTTTGGATATCTTCCTCAATTAACTTTTAAAAATTGTGTTATGATTTATTTTTGTCGAATTTTATAAATCTGAGCCTAAGATATTGATCGGGGTTTATATGGGGTTTGTAGAGAGGTTTAGATCGCGATTAAGAATATATCTAGGAGTAATGTTTGTTATTACAAACGGATAAACTTCAGTTACATCTTAGGATCATGATAATCACAGCAATGTTGAGCAAAGTGAAATTGATGGAAATCTTTAAAATCTTTTTTCTAAAAATTATTTTTAAAGCTAAAATTCAAATGAAAGTTACCAAAAAATAAATTTTTGAATGATAATTAGGAAAAACATAAGCTAATTCTTTATCTATTTCATGCATTTTAAATTCTTCATGAACGTAAACAGGCGTTCTGTTAAGCATTTTGCCCATTGCATAGAGACCAGCAAAACGATACATCTTTAAAATTAAAATTAAAAAATTTAAAGCTTTATAGTATGGTAAAGACATAAGCTCAGATCAGGTATTAAAGACTGGGTGTGATCAATATTGCGTTTGATCCGTCATTGTGTTCATTGACATCAAATAGATGCTCTCCAAACACAATTCTCGAGATGCGTCCAGTCAGATTACATCCCCGCATTTGAATTCTTATATTGACTTTTCCCTGACCAGAATGAAGATCAATATGTGGCTTCTAGTTTTTTCTTAAATCCTATCCTTATAGTTTATAGGTATTTTTCTAAGTTGAAGATAAACTCAATTAAATAATCAAATTCTGGATATTAATTAAAGTTAACGACAAACTTGATTCCCAAGTCCACCGTCCATCATTCTGGTATAAATAAAATGATCAAATTCAGGCCTTTCTCTGACAGAATCTATAGGTTCCAGCCATTGTTCATAATATTTTTTGTTTTCATCCTAATTATTTATTAAACAGATACTATTTTATAAGTTATTTACAGTTATCTTATTTTGACTATTATCTAGCCGATCATAATTATTTTTAATTGTACTAGGTATTGTAGAACTTATCGTAGAACAAATCATAAATATAAAAATTATCAAAATTAAAATTATTATATAATTAAATTGAAAAGAGAATTTTCGATATTTTTCCATTTAGAATCTTGAAAAATTAATAAATTTGTTGAAAATCAGCTTTAACTAATCGAATTTAATTCAATTTTGTTTTGGATTAAGTATTGGAAAGATTATAAAATTTGAAGACCCACAACCACCTCGCTTTTTCTGATCGAAAATATTTTTTAAAGTGTGAAGTATAACAATAATGGGATAATATAATAATATAACAATAATTCTCGTCATGAGCGGCATCATATCTCGATATAAGAAGCGATTGTTTTTGGGTTTTTCTACTGATAACAGAACAAAATTTTTTAAATATAATAACCTAATCTGATTGGCTAAAAATCTAATTTTAAAATATTTTTATTAGCGTGCTTGTAAAAAAAGAAATGAGACGAACTAAATAAAAATTTCTTTAATTCATGAATATTCTAGGTAAGTAACGAAATTCATTATAGAACTGAATAGCTATTTTATAATAAACGAAAAATTTTGGATTTTATGGAATTTTTTAAATGAATTTAAGTTTACTTCCTCTTTCCATAAGAACGTATAATCTGTATTAATTGTCCTCCCTCAAATAATTACCTCGCTTTCATTAAGTAACCCGTCCAGCGATAGAATGAAACAATAATTACCCCCCGAACAAATGCCCTAAAACACGTTTAAATTTCAAACCTCGTATAATTACCCTCCTTCGATTAATTAACCCTCCAACTAAAAGTCTAAATAATACCCATGGTCTTTTTTAAATTTAATTCCTATTAAATTTGAACCAATCCAGATTTGATTCAATATATATCCTGAGCAAATAATTTTTAAATTTTCAATAAATAAATTTATTTTTTTAAATTAAATTGAAATTTGTGTATTGTCAACAATCATTAATCAAAACTTTTTTTCAAATTAATTCGCCAAATATTTTACAACCATTTTTAACTTGAATAAAATGTCAACTTATTTGTTTTATTCATTATTTTGGGTAACACCTACGAGAAAAAAATTTTGTTTGTTCTGTTATCAGCACAAAAATAACAAAATTAATATCCCTTATATTGAGCTAATATTCAAATTATAATGTCGCTAATGACAAGAGTTTGCTGTATTCTAAAGCCTAAAACCTTAATATTTCTATTATTGTTTATTATTTCCCATTATTATTGTTATTCTTCACAATTGAACAAAATTGCAGAACAATTATCTAATTGTGGAAGATATACTGTTCGTAATAAGACAAGTAAATTAATGGTTGATGGCAGAATATTTGATACAGTGGTGCCTCTAGGGAATGGTTATGATTCTAAAGTGAGTTTTAGATTGTTCTTATTGTATGGTCGTTCGCCGAAGACCTTTAGAATTTTAGATCCCAAGATAAAAAATACTCAATTGTGATCTTTATACGTAATGATATCTAGAAAATATTCAGATTTTTCTCGCGTATTCACCAGCATTGGATAAATGTGTAGCAATCAAGCGTTGCATGGAACAACCATGGGTGAACAAATGTACAAGAGAATTGGAGGTGATGAAGGCTCTGAATGCTTCCGATGCTGGAAACGTTAAACTATTTTATTAGTAGGTAGTTTGAAAATTTAGGAATCTTATTAATTTAATAAATTTCCAAAAAACAAAAAAAAATAAATTCTATTTTTGTTTCAGTGATATATCAATTAATCAAAAATGTAACGAGGAGACGTTATTTTCCGATTTTTTGCGTGTTGTAATAATTGGCAGTAATAGACGAAGGAAACGTGAAGTTGCAAAGAATAATAAATCTTTAAGTAGGTTTTTAAGTTTCTTATATCAATTTTTTCGAAATGATTAAAATTAACTAGAATGCTGAAAATTATTCTAAGAAAATTTTTTTATAATATTTTATGTAGCCAATTGTACCTTGGTAACGACAGTTTTAGAACTTGGCGAAGAAGACGCTACAAAACATTGGCAGCGTTTAAATTCTAAAAAGGTCAATAGTAATAGAGAATTGGAACAATTAAAATTACAAATCCAAAAACAATTGGATAAATTGCATGAAAAAGGTAAATAATAAGCTAGGGCCATTCACATCGGTTAGCCGAGATGAAACCGAAAACTATGATCCTTACTAGGACTGAGACAGGAAGCGGGTGTCTAAAAACTAAAGAAAAAATCCGGAAACCTGGAGATACCGAATACTTATACAGTACATATTATATAAATTATTGCCCTGGGATAGGAAATGAAAGATAATTCAAGTAAATCCCCAAAATAATCCATCATTTTAGGTCTAGCTCATTGCGACATCCATCCAGATAATATACTTCTATTTCCAAATAATGGAACTTCTATAAATGCAAAATTGATAGATTATGGTTGGTCTTGTTGTTTTAATTCTACAAAATGTGGAATGGAGCTAAGCAAGATCGTGCCATTTTGCGAGGCAGAAGAAGCGCTTCTTGACGATAAAATAAATATGGATGGATTGGTAAATGAATTGAGAGAATTGTGAATCAAAATTCTTAATTTATCGTTTGATCATCATTGAATAATAATTAAAAATTAAAATACATCATCAAATATCATTAAATAAATTAAAAAATCTTAATTAGAAGGAACTCTCAAAAATAATCTTTAAGATAATGCACATATTTCCATACATTCCTTAGCAGTTTTGAATCTATTTTCATTCCCACCACATTCCTGAGCACCAAATTCATAACATTGTCTGGTAACAGAATCAAAAAAGAAGCGATGTAATAATAATTTGTTTTCCTCAAGTTGGTCTATTTCATTTTTGTCATTCGAGATTTTAAATTTTACTGAATCATCATTGTTAAGGCAAAGACCAGATTCTGAAATAATGACCCAGATTTTTCAAGGTCTTGTCAAACTCAAAATACCTGGAGGAAGATAGCACTTTGCTGGGTAATGTGGAATTTTCTCAAAAACGGGTGGAGCTGGGAGTGGAATAGCTAACGTGTAAAATTGAAGGATGTTGATAAGGTTTAATAAAAATAAAGATAAATAAATGATCATTTAATAAAATATTATTTTTTCAAATTAAATTTGAAAAAGAATTTTAAAATTTCAAAGGAATTGTTACTAAAATAAATTTTTTGATATACTCTTTTATTATTAAATTTTAACGCATTTTGGGAATTTTATAGAGTTCTCTCTCTTTTTAAATCCTGCGCAATAAAGCATTTACATAAACATTGTTTGGTCCGCTTTCTCTGTTATCCGATCCAAATAATTGAAAAGGCTTGGGATCGTCCAACAATGAACTCATTCAAGCGAAAATGCACGCATTTGCGCAGCGATATTATTTACTATTTTGTTTAAATAGACATACAAAATTTTTAAAATTATTCAATGCGCAACTTTGATGTTTTAAAAATGTAATATAATACTTTGAATTTTTCAAAAATAAATAAATTATAAATTGTAATTAAAAATTTTGAAATGAGGCTTAAAAATTAATATTAAAAATTAAATAATGTAAGGATGATTCACCTAGCAGCATTTAAAACTTAGGCGGGGGATAAACGATCTAAAAAGGAAAAAGAGAAAGCATTAGTCGATGCCCCGGTAGCTCAACGGTAGAGCTCCTGCATATAGTGAGCGAAAGCCTAGCAACAACTAGCAGGTGGTCGCAGGTTCGAATCCTGCCCGGTGGCTAAACTTTTGCAAACTCTTTCTGGTGCCGCTAACAGGGATCCCCACCAGGGGTGAGCGCATTGCGTTTTGCGTTTTGCGTCTTGCGTTATTTTCGATGAAATTAACGCAAAAAATGTACCCAATCTGAGGACAAAATTGGAGAAATCCGGCTTATTGACCTTCCAAAATTCTAAAAATTTTCGCCTACGGCGCTAAAAAAGGAAGAAATTTTGCTTTCTGGCCTTCCAAAATTCTCAAAATTTTTGCCTGCGGCGCTGAAAGCAAGGTATTTAAATACCAATTTTCCATCTTGGAACGGCTCAAAAAATATCGGTCAGTATCTGGAGCTCAGATCTCAAGTTATCCTCCAAATCACCTGATATCCCCGGAATCAAATTATAAATACTGATAGCTCTTTATCCTCTGTTATCTCCCTAACTCACCCGACAGCCTTCAGTAATCCCATGGTATCTTTTTAAATCTCCTTGATCGCTCCAAATTACATGATAATCTCCGTAATCCCCCGCTACTTCGTTAAACCCCTTGATCCTTCTAAATCCTCTGACTTCCTTCATAATCCCTTCAAATCCTTTATCCCTCTCCAAAACATTACCCATCCAAATTACATGTATCACAAACTTAATTAGGACTCGCTGACTTATAGTAATACACCAATTTTAACTGAAAAATGGCTAATACTTAATTTAAAAAATTTTTTTCCCAATTTTGCGTTCTTGCGTTTTGCGTTATTTGCGTTAAATTTTGGCCTTGCGTTGCGTTTTGCGTCTTGCGTTTTTTGAGATTGTCTCTTGCGCTCACCCCTGATCCCCACTTGCTGCTGGGTGAACCAGCCGATCCACGGTCATGGCGCTTGACCGAGGGACCGGTCTGATGTAGGGATGGAGATGTAAGGATGATTCACCTAGCAGCATTTAAAACGCTTAGGCGGGGGATAAACGATCTAAAAAGGAAAAAGAGAAAGCATTAGTCGATGCCCCGGTAGCTCAACGGTAGAGCTCCTGCATATAGTGAGCGAAAGCCTAGCGAAAACTAGCAGGTGGTCGCAGGTTCGAATCCTGCCCGGTGGCTAAACTTTTGCAAACTCTTTCTATAAATTAGAACTTAAATTATTATAAAATTAATATTAATCAAGCATTCTATTTAAAAATAAATTTTTATATAAAAATTTAAAAGAATAATTAATAAAATAATTATTAAAGAAATTTAAAAATTCGCCAAACGACGGAAAAATTTTTATAATTTAAAAATTAAAATATTGTAAGACTTAAATTAGTGTAATTATTTTCAAGTACATTTTTTGGCAATTTTCCATATTTAACTTATTAAAATTTTTGATAATCTAGTAGTTTAATATTTAAAATAATTTATTTTTGACACTTCCGTGTTAATTTATTTAAAATTCTTAAAATAGATTCCCCCTATTTATAAAATTTCTTTAAATTTACTCAAGTAACTTGCAGAAATCTGATCAATTTAATGCATCGATCAAACAACTTAAAATTTATTTACTACACCTTGATGTGTGTTAACGAGCGTGAGCGTTGATTTCTTTGATTTGTAAATAAAAATATTTTTTTGCTGAATTTCCTGTTAAGAGAGCAAAGAACTTATGATCTGAAACAAGGTGAAGGAAAAAGTTTTATTGTTTATTTTTATCATTCGCCAAATTATTTACTTTAAATATTAATTGAAATAAAAATATTATTTTTTTATTCAATTAGAAATTTTAATTTAAAAATATTTTCCAAATTTTTTTAAAATTTTTTTATCAAGTACAAACGTTTTTACAAAAATTTTTCACGTGCTGCATAATCCTGCCCCCATAAATGTACTTCTACATATAATTTTTCTTGATCACGTTTTTTGTATTTTGCATGTTAAATATGCGAAGATAATTTTCTAATGAAGTTGTGTATGTAAATCTCTAACATTTGACATTATTTTAATATTTTACAAATTATTTTGACATTCCCCAATATTTTTTAATTTTTATTTTTGTGTATTTCTGTTAATATTATTAGAGTTTTGTGACCAGTGTATGGAGGACATTTATTTTGAATATTTTTTGCTTTCTTAATTTAAATTATTCTCGCAACATATTTTTTAAATTTTCTCATTTTTAATTATAGTAAAAACATGATAACTCTTTTAAATATTCCCTTATCATAATCAAAATATTCCAGACAAAATTTGTTTTACTCTTATCTAAATAAAACATTTAAAATTCAAAACTCACTCCCTTTTCTTAAAAATTTTTAAAATATCTTCCTCATTCAAAATACTCTCCCTCCCTTTTGATAACCTATAAATATCCGTTTTTATTTTATTATTATTACCTTATAATATTGAAAAAAATTTTGTTAAGATAAATTTGTTGTTTAAAAACTTTCTAGTGTTTACTTGAATTAAATTAGTAACTTAGTTCAAACTCGGGACTTTGAAACAAATTCGAAAATACATATAATGATTATCAACTAAAAGCTACAGTGCGCGTTAATTATACTATTAAACTCGTAATTTAGATAACTAATGTTTGAACATTTATTAAAATTAAATACAAATTTCTTTAAAATATTTACTCATCGTGAATGGGCAATAATTTCTACACTTTTAATTGCTAATTTTGTTAACACAATAACTTTCAATTGCATGGATGCTTTTTATCCAAAAGAAGTGCGGCTACCTTCGGGTTTCTTTAATAATTTTTGATCACACTCCTTAACATTTTTTCTAAAAAAATTTTAAAATTGGGCACACTTTCAATTATTTCTGATTAAATTATATCATTTATTAGGCTAATAAAAGACAAATAAATACTGGTGATATTGGTTTAATTATTGGTACATATCAATTAAGTAGATTTATAATGGCACCTTTTACTGGAAAATATGTAAATACCTATATTAAATTAAATTTAAATTAATTTTAAAAATATTAAGATAATGAGTATTGGAACTTCAAAGGCTTTCTTTTTTAGCCTTTTCTTAACTGCATTTACAGCTTTTGGATTTGGGTACTTTAAAATCATAAATATAATTTTAATAACAATTTACTTTATTTTTAGATTACTTACCCTATTACCAAACGGTTTTTATTTCTTCTGGGCTTCCTTAGCTATTCGGATCATTCAGGCACTTGCTAGAACCGTTTTTGTTATAAGTTCATTGA